TTTTTTTTTTTCCATTTTTCATTTTTATGTTTTGGGAGGGGGGATTGTGGGTTTGGCCAAAGACATGATGATGATTGAACGGGAATGAAAGGTTCGTGCGAGGTGGATGATAGAGCATATCCCGCATTTCCATTATTTAGACATATTCTATAGTAATTACAGTAGATATTTATTTGGCCCACATAGATATTTTTGTAATTAGTAACAGGAAAAAATTACAAAAAATCACCACCCGCCTGGGTGGCGCTGCTGGAAAGGGCAATCTTTCTCTCGCAAAAGGTTGAGTGTTCGAATCCCGGGCGCCGCAGGGTGACTTAACCGGTGCACGTGTGTGGTGGCTAGCACGTGTCGCCCCCAGGGTTTACCTCCCGGCTGTCGGCCGTGCGGGGGTTCCCTGGGTTACCAAAAAAAAAAAAAATTACAAAAAATCCTGAATTATATTAACTGTGACACATTTACCTTAAAAATTTGTACGTGTGTGACATATTTATCCTCTGTTAATGTTCCGTCACTGAGCACCGTTAAAAATCTACCTACAGGGATGCCGGAAAGCAAACATTGTTAACATGACGCACACGTGACTAGCTGAAAAATCATCTGACGGAACTTTGACGGAGGGTAAATGTGTTACATAAATACAAGTTTTGGGTTTTTTTATGTCACATGATAAAATTTAGGGTAAATGTGTCACGTAAGTATAAGTTTTTGGTTTTTTATGCCACTGAGTAAATGTGTCGCAGTAAGCATAGTTTGAAATTTTTTACTCCGATTGGGATACACTGTTTAACATCCCGGTACATATCCCTTATTCAAAGACCAATTTGATGGAAAGACACTTACATCCGAATACGAACATCTAGTGCCAAAACAAAGCGGCTGCTACCGCTCTATGAAGCAACGTTAGCAATTTCGCAAAACTTCTGGGAGCTCATGTAGAAATTACGCACTTCATCTCACGATTTTGACACATCCGTCCGTCCACGCCCAATTTCGGTTTCCATCCTCCTTCGCCGATTTCATCGTCAACAAACATGAAAATCAAAAATCAAATAAGACCTATCCTTAGTTTAGGGCGCGCTTGTTTCACAAAAAAAATAAAAAGAATAAAAAGTTAGGTATGAATTACTTGCCGTCGATGATGAAAATATTTTCCGTTGACTAATTCTTCTAAACGATAGAACCAATCATACTCCAGGAAAATGTTACCCAAAAATCTCGAGTTCTTCACTGAACAAACACACCCTAAGAATCCTTCGCGAATGGTCACTTTGTTTCCCAATTTTTTTATAACCCCTTTTCGAAACCAACGCACCTCGTTAGTCGGAAACAACGAGACGAAAAACCAAACATCCCCTCTGCCGATCTTTTTGAAACCATAACATATGCTCAACATGGCTGGATTTTCTTTGGGAAGAGCGACGTTAATCGGAATAACAATAATAACGAATCAATTTTTCTTAATCGACGCGGTTAGTAATCATAAAAAACTTCGGGTTTATAAAAAGATAGATAAGAAATTGCACGTGTAAGTGGACCAACCAACGCTGATGTGTGCCCAATTGCGCCTTGGGGTGATCGCTCGCGGCCTCCCTCCCTCCTGCTGCTGCTGTGCGTGTTTTTTGTTTGGGGTGGTGCATGCAAACAAGCGCGAATTTGAAGAAGAAGAGGAGCATCTTTTGGAAAGTGGTGGTCGTCGCTCTTGTCCATCCCTTCAAAACTCACCAATCTCAAGAAGATCTGATTCTCTCCATCGTCATTTTATCTTTTTTTCTTTCGAAGAAAAAAAAATTCATTTGAATCTTTTGATTGAATAGGGTCGATGTTCCAGAGGAGATTGGTCGGGTCTTGCCATGGATTATTCTTTCTTTCTTTTTTTATCATTTTTCCCTACGATGTTTCTGTTTTTTGTTTTTTGCTTTTTTTTTTTTGGGTTTTTGGTTTTTGGGGGGTTTTTATTAGGTTTTTTTTTTTTGGCCCTTTTGATGGGGAGCTTTCCCTTTTTCGAGTTTTTCCCATCTTTGACCCGGAAGATGGTTTCTCTCCCAGCAAGCCAAGATGATTACATGGACATCTTTCCTCCCCCTCGCGTCTCTCTCCGTCTTTCGCCTTTTTTTTTTTTTTTGCCTTCTCTTTTTCCCTTATCGAAGTAATATCATTATTTATTTTAGAATAAATACCACCAAAAGAAACTTCAGATCATACATGCCGTAACACAAAATGCCTCGAATTACTTGCCCATTATGATCCAAACACTAAAACTTTCTTTTGCGTCGTAGAAAAAATCTCGAACTTGTACCAGACAAATATACCCTGAAATGAACGGTAATAGTGAGTAAGTTTAGGATTTTTTTTGTGATGAAAAAAAGGGTTGACGGTATTTTTTTGCGGTATTATATTTACCCTCCATTTTAAAAAAAAAAATCGATTTTACTCGTGAGATAGAACAGATCTATCGAATTTATACATATATATAATATAAAGGAATTAGCAATGGTTTTGAATGCTTCTTTTTTTCTTAATAATCTATTTTTTTTTAGTGTGGCGTGGGGGCAGTGACTGATGGTGGGGACTGATTTGTGTGAGGAATCGGGGATTGTTGAGGTGATTATTATGGGGGATGACGAGGGAGGAAAGAGGGAGAGAGAAGAGAGAAAGACATTGGTGTGCAGTTCACGTGATTCCACGGTACGATCACTGATCGTTTTGATTGTTTGTGAATTTCGTGCTCCCATGTTAATAATAATGGAGCAAAACATATAAATATAAATATAAATAAAAAAATTTTTTATATAAGAAATTGGGTTGGGGGGGTTAAGTTTTTATCACATCATACGGACGGGACAACGTAGATTGACCGACGATTGGACACCCAACACAACACCTTCAAGAGGACAATCATGTTAGATTCTTGCACCATTCGCGCATGATCACCATGAGGACTAATGTGGGTACGGGGAAGATACCCCGTCAGCCGGTGACCGAGACTGGGGGGAAGGAGGAGCAGCAGCGCACCGGCTCCGGCGACATGGGCTCGGGGCAATGTGAACCATTGGGACGACTCCTTTCTTCCCTCGGAACGTTTCGACGAGATCTGAAATCGGGTCCCTTTCCCTCCCTACAGCTCGGCTCTTCCATCGACATTCGGCGGTCGCGCACTCGCCTGTCAAGCGACTCCTATCGAGAATCGACCAAAATCGTCGTCCTTAAGAATCACCACGTACATCAAACAGCACCCAAAAGGGGAGGACATTTGCTATTGGCCTCACGTGTATACAATTCGCACCGTACGTAGATCATAGATGTACGGTGGTGTTAGATGCAAATGGCCACGTACGGCGGCGCGTGGGGGAAGGGGGAAGGGGGGGAAGGCGCGTGGGGGTGTATTCCATTTTCCTTGGGAGGCAGGCAAAGTGACAAGAGGCGGGGTGAGAGGTAAAAGGTAATTACTAGGAGTAGGACTGGGACTGGGGGATGAATTTCCATTTCCATTTCCATTTATATATATTATAATTTATAATTAATTAATTGAAATGTTTTTTTTTTTGGGCAAAAAATGAGGAGAATAAGGTCACAAAGACAGAGAGCCTCGTGATCGGAGAAGGGGGGTGGGCGTGGTGCAGATTAGATAGATCCATGGAAGACCGTTCCTCCTCCTCCCTCCCTCCCTCCCCCGTATTCACGTGGCCCTCTTTTGACTGCCCCGATCCCCCCTCCCCCCCCTCTGACCAGAACCCACCACCACTCTCAGCCTTGTTCCCTGTGCCCCTTCTCTCTCTCTCTCTCTCTCTCTCTCTCTAGAAGCGCGGCCCCGTGGATCGGATGAGATCGCAACGGTTGATCGCGCCGAGGCTCCGTGCGCGCGCTTGTAGGACCGATGTGAAACCCGCATGATTGAGTATTCGACCGGTCGTATCTGTATGGACTCGGCCGGCTCTAACAGGAGATTCCCGCGAGAGAAGCGCGACTGGCGATGGTAACATCATGCTCTGTTGTCGATGTGATGACGTTCTAGTAGCCACGCCTCTAGATTTGGAAAGTTCGAGTGATTCTAGAAAGAGGGTATGTATGTCCTAGAGAGAAATATGACCGAATGGATGTAAACAGGGTCGGCATGATACTTGGATTCAACTCATAAAACGACGTAATCGTTGTTTTTTTTAAGGACAGTAGCATAATAACACATCACGTCGAAACATGCGACTTTTTGATCGCTTTATTAATCGAGCCCAATGTTATAGAACAAATTCGAACGATAATCCCTTCCTTTCTTGCTAACAAGTAATAGCGAGGAGCCGAGGACCCCTTGAGAACCCGATCGAACCTACTCATGCGCGGCGGCTTTTTCGGCTCACGCGTGAGCTAAACTTTGAATGCCGGAGGGGGGGGGGGGGGCTCATCAAGATACGCACATCGCTTCAATGGACTTGGATGTTTATTTTATACCATAATACGGCCTGACCCCCCTCGCTCGCTCTCTCTACCGCTCTCTCCAAATGGGGCCTATAAATACACTCCCAAAGAGAGCAACCGCGCACCCATTGCATCTGCCTATCAGCAGAAAACACGCACTTCACTCACTCACTTTCCCACTCAACGCAACGCAAGCACCACCGGTCCCTGTGGCTGCTAAACGCAAAGTACTCCTCACTACTCTCTACTCTCTCTCTCTCTACAACATGGCAATCTGAACCTGGGACCCTCCCCCTGCGTTCTGTCCTTTTTCTCTTTTCCCATAATTTCGTATGCGCATCCCTCCTCCTCCTCCTCCTAGTCCTCCTGGCCATTCCACGACAATCGCACCCCCACCACTACAGGGTCACTGCCCCAACCTGCTGCTGACTCCTATTTCGACCCCTTCCCACTCCCTCTCTCTCCCTCTCCTTCACCTTATATACTCTCTCCCTCACCACCCATTCAATCCTTCTCATCATTCACACTCCTCTCCCTCTCTCACTCCCTCCCCACTATTTTACGTGATCTCGAACGAGAAGATCAGCTCAGACACACGGGGCACAGAGAGATAGAGATACTGAGAAAGAGAGAGAGGGAGAGAGGGAGAGGCTGGAGATAGATGATGCATAGGTGTAGCAGAGAGCCGTGCCCGTGTGGCCCGTTCGGGAACCAGGGCGCTTCCTCCTTCTCCATGCTCTTCTCCAAGCCCTTCGACGAGAACGACCTCTACTACTCGTCGTCCTCCTCCCCACCTTCCTCCTCCTCCTCCTCCGTCGACTGCACCCTCTCCCTCGGCACCCCCTCCACCCGCCTCGTCGTCCCCGAGGACGCCCCCGACGATCACTACAGACGGGGCGGGGGCGGCGGCGGCGGCGGCGGGAGCGGCGCCCGCCCAGAGCAGCACCGGCGCTCGACCGTGTCCAACTTCTGCTGGGACGTGTTCCAGCCCAAGCACGCCCCGCACGGCAAGGCCAGCCGCGGTGGAAACGGCGGCGGTAATCAGTCGGCGGCGGCGGCGGCGGCGAGCGATCCCCTTCTCGCTCGCCGCTGCGCCAACTGCGACACCACCTCCACTCCGCTTTGGCGCAACGGTCCGCGTGGCCCAAAGGTGCGTTGTGGATTAATTATGCATCGCAACATCGATACGTGTGTACGTCCGACTGTTGCATAAGCTCTTGCATTTTAGTTTTTTGTCCTTTTCCGTGCATTGTATATGATCGAGAATGTTTCACGTGTGTTGTTTCGAAAATCGTTCTGGTTTCTGCAATTTGTTTAATGGAGTTCCTTTTGTTTTGTTTTGTTTTTTTTTATTTTTGGTTGGTCGGTTCATCTGTTCATCAAAATTACGACGATTCGAATTCTCCGTTCATCGTACTGATAACGTAGCATTCGCACATGAGAGTGACGAAGATCACCATCATCTAGTGTTTTCTGAACATCCATAATGATTGCACTAGTGCAGTGTTAATGTATGTGTCTGTGTATATATCGAAGCTCTTCTTCAGTTCTTTTTCTCCAAGTCAAGCAATGTCGTAATCTTTGCCGCTGACCATACATATATCATAGTTCGATGATTATTTCTTGATACCTGTCCGTTAACATGTTGCATCTCTCCAACTTTTCCGGTATATAACATCACCGTTTTCTGAATGTGCAGTCGCTATGCAATGCCTGCGGAATCCGGTTCAAGAAGGAGGAGAGGAGAGCGACGGCTGCCGCGGCCTCCGGCGGAGGAGGAGTCGCGGAAGCGCAGCACGTGTACGGCCACCAGTGGGTCCATCAGGCGCAGGCGGCGTCGCAGAAGGTGCCCTCTTGCTTCTCGCCGGCGGCGATATCGGGCCACCACCACCACCACCACGAGTTCCGCTTCATGGAGGACGACGTCGTCGCGTCGGCGCGGGACTCCTCCGACGGCGGGATCTCCTTCCTCTCGTGGCGCCTCAACGTCACGGACAGGCCCAGTCTCGTCCACGACTTCACAAGATGAAGAAACGCACGAAGAAGAAGAAGAAGAAGAAGAAGAAAGATGGATAAAAGAGTCGAGATCACATCGCCCCCCCCCCCCCCCCCCCAGTCCTTTTCCATATAAAATATTAACATATGTATCACGACGTTGATGTTTTGAAGCTTGTTGATGATGGCGATAGTTATGGTCGTGGTCCAATTCTTTTCTTTTTTTTTGTTCCCTTCCTCTGTTTTCCTTTTTTTTTTAATATTATATTTTTCTTTTCAACTTTTCCAGCTGTTTCCTTTTCTTCTCTTGCCCAGATGGAGTCCCCAAATGGGATAAATTCCTATTTTCTTGTTCTTGATTATTATTAATATTTCTTCCCCCCCCCACTTTCGCCTTTCTCTTTCGAGCTAAATTTGTACAACCCCACGTTTCTGCAACTTCGCTTTCCTTTAGTTTTCACTCTCTGATGATAAAGTAGAGGCTTTGATGTGGTTGATCTGTCGAGCGTTTACCAAACCCCAACGCGAACGACTGCCCGTTCCTATCATTACACGAACTGGAGTTTCATGTGTGGCACCTGCGTGCGTGTGTCGGAGCGAAGCTGGGAGCTGCTCTTGACCCGTTCCTCGTGGGCTCGTTGCTGAATTTCATAAAACAAAGCAGGGGTGATGTTGAGAGATCGATGAAAGTTCTGATAAGATTTTACGTGCAGGTGGATCAGCCAATTATCATAATGCTGCTCTTTCTTTCTGATCGATCCAGGAGGGGGTGAAGGAAAAAGAGAGGAGGGTTTCTGCGCAGCGATCAGAGCATGGGAATGGGTTTTGTCCATATTAGGTCTCCTTTCAACTCTGTGTCCCTGACCCCTTTTGAGGGTACTAGGGTTCATAGACTGATAATTTCGGGGAGAAAACATATGGAGACAATCATACTTTATGGTCCATCGTACCGTTCTTTTTTCTTTCTTTTCCATGGCTTGCTTGAGAGGGAAGAAAATAATGAAAAAAAAGGAAAAGGCAAGAAGGGATAATCTTCGAACCTGCTTCTTGACTCTAGTCTATAGATGTTTGAAAGGTTCATATGTAGTTTGGTAAATTTGGGCAAAATCATGTCTCGAATTGCAATTTGCAACACATTAAAGTAAGGTGAAATGACTTTTTAGGAGTTGTTACGAAATGTCATGGCTATACTACAGCGTTTGTCGAACCACTCACAAAATCGTAATATGATCCTTTTCAAAATTGTAATCTCTACAAGACCACACACTCTCTTTACCTATTCAGTGCAATAGAGCAATAAACACCATTCATTTGCATCATCATTATGATCTATACGTTGAATTTCTTCTAATGTTTACTATAAAACATTGCAATTGAAAATGCAATAGGCTGAATTAGTAAATGAGTCTACAAAAAAGGATTTTTACTAGATTCAGCGTCAATCGTAGAGGAACTTTTACACATTCTCCGTTGCATGGGTGATGTTCAAAGACAGTTCGAATCCACAATTGTCTTCGACTGATAATAATCCGAGAGAAAAATATCGGTATCTAGTAACAAGATTTCGTTACTACTGCTTACCATTTAATAAATCATATCTAGGACATAATGACTGTAAAGTATATATATGAAACACAATCAACTCTTTCGGCATACAAATATAAAATTAATAGACTTGACCAAAGAACATATATAAATTATTTAAAATAAAAAAAAACTCTGTTAAGCTGGTAGAATACATCACGTAGTTATAGGTGTGTAAATACTTTCATAGCCAAAGCTATCGTGCATTCTCAAGTTCAAAAATTCCATGCAAAACCTAAGTTCTACACGTTATATTACCCATGCTCATGCATACACTATAAGTAATTATAGGAGTCAATTATGAACCCACACAACTCAGCAATGATTCATTCTAAGGTTTTATCAAATAGATAGGACCACATCTTCGAGAGCTTATGTTATCCTTCACAATCTTTATACAGCCACTCCTTCTCCAATGCAAATCTATAGGCAAACTACAGTTCTGTGTTCCTTCGTATGTCGGATCGAGCCCATATCTTCTGTTGTTATATACATGTATGTACATGGGGCAAGTTCAACATATATACCCCCGAAATACTACACCAATCTTGTTACTCTGAGAAGGTCTGAACACCAGACCTCTGACCTCTGCTAAGTTCAAGAAAACTCGTGGGAAAACTCTTGCTCCTCGCGTTACAACAGCTTCCCTTACATAAAGGAAGATGTTAGCTCCTACAAACTCAAAAAGCAAAAGAGTCTGTACTTACATGCACTGTGAAGAGGAAGCCAGATGTGTCTATCGCGCGCTTCCTTTGATTCACAGCTAGGTTTCGCATCACACGATCTCCAATCGTGTCTGCTAAATCGTTGTCATCCATTGTTGGGTTTCGAGCTCGGGCCGCCCACGGTAGGCTCGACCCGAGCCCCAATCCGTTTCCATTTGAATGGTCCCCGGAGGGAACTCGTTACAAAGAGGCAAAGAACACTTCAAAAGAGATGGACTGACGTACAATAACGTGAGTGGGGGCACGCGAGCTGCAAAAGAGATGGAGAAAAAGTGGTCGTGTGCGACTTGAGAAGCTGAGAGCAACGCCGAAGTTCCCCCGGTAGAGAAGCTCCAAGCAAGCTTTGTCGGTTGGATTGAGGGCATATTTGATCGTCGATATACCGGTATAGAGTTTTGATTCTTATGATGAAGCTTTTGCATTTTATACCTTCCTTAGGTATAGAATATTAATTTCTTATGTTTCGGGTCTGGCAATTTTTGACACAAATTAGGACGTGTAAAATGATTATATGGCAATTCCAATAGTGACACGCATTAACACGAATTTAATACATATAAGTCAGCGTAAGAAATAAAAATTTAATTTTTCAGTGACTCGAGCAAAGATCTAGTTATGACATGTGAAAACAAATTAATCTGCCAAATTATTGATTCACTTAGGAAGCGCATGTCTTAATTTATCACGGGCAAAAGTTGTCTTCCCATCGAATTTCTCTAGCTTAATCCTCGGTAGAAATTCACTCGACACATTATTGGCTTTGGTAACTTTTCAACAACACTCTGGTTTTTCATCAATCCCAGATTGACAAAACAATGAATAGCAAAATTGCTAACAAGATCGGGTAGTCGCTTCCCGCCTTTTGCAATTATAAAAACTTGCTAACAAATTTATTAGGCTTAAAGGATTAAATTTAACAAATTAAACATGTTTCCCAAGTTATGCATTCTACAACAGATGGAAACCATCCATCCGAAAAATTAAAAAAAGGAAAGAAAGAACTTTCGTTTGTGCTCGTAAACTGTGTATTGGTTCCTTTTCAATCTTTTTGCTTATAACTACTCAATTCACTTCGCGAGTGTCTGTTGCATGGAGCACCGACTATTTACGATCGGAAGCGACACCAAATCGAGGGACGCGATCGGAATAATCACGCTGAGGCACGCCCATGGCTGATCGGCCCGCGAAGGCCTTGGTGCCGGTGGTGCTGGTAGTGGTGCTGCTCCCGGGAGTGTAGCCGGCGCAGTTCCCAGTACACGGAGCCGAACCCTTTTTCAGGGTCTGGAGAACGATTAGACTAGGCTCCTCAGTATTGACCCGCGCTCCTCCGTGGCCGTTAATTAGAACCCGGCACGCCTCGCTCGGTCGCATCGATGCTCCCATCAAAAACAGCAAAATCATCGCAACGACTGCTACTTTTGAAGCTAGGATCTTCTCCATCCTCGGCCGATTTCCAAGAATCTCTCTAGCTTTATCCTGCTTTGGTTGTGGCAAGCTGTGAGTCTCTTGATGGGTACGATGAAGAGAATGCGTCTGAGGACGTCTCGTACTTATATTGAGCCATTGGAAACCGCCAGCAATTGCTTCGATTCTTCCCCTCTTGATCGAAATTGTTGAACGGGCTTGGGATTTTTGAATTTTTGACTTCCACAGTAATGGAGAACCAGAATGGAATTTGACTTCACTGGTTATAGAGAGGGAAGAAGAAGAAGGAGAATTTGAATTGGTCGTCAAGGAGACCAATATTTTCGACAACGAACGACAGCATTCTGAAATTCGACATAATTCGTGATAGCTACCTGAAACGATGAGGTAATTACTACACGGTTCATCCATCCATACCGTGAAAATAACTTAAATTGCTTCGTGTTATTGGCACAGACATGGCTATACATTTGATTGCAAATTCAAAAACAAAAGACTCGGGTGTTGGGACCAGAAAGTCTACCGACCGATCTAAAAGTGCCACGTGGTTACGAAGCGTGAAGGGTCTATGTCGGATAACTAATTGAGATGCACTTCTGTTAATAGGCATAGTTCACGTAAGAACGAGCACGAAAATGTTAAGAAAATACTTGTAATAAGGCGCGGATGACCGTATTAGACGAGTATGCGTAAAAAAAAAAGGTAAGACAAATGAGTGACCTATCGGTTACGTAAAACTTGAATTGGGAAATGTGGGTGTTGAACACATTTTGTCACGATCGACGGTGGTCAAATAAGAAGTGATTTTGTAAATTCAAAGGCAAGACAAAGAGGATGAGTCCGGTTGAATAAGGTGGGATTGGGAAAAACTTGGGCAACAGAGTTGTAAACCGTGTCTTGATCACATTTGTAGAAACTTTCTCGTCCACCGACCCTACATATAGTTTCAACACTAAATTAAAGATAGTGCTAGCGATCTTTCTGGACGTTCTCTTAAGAGTCTTACCCTCACTACAAAATGTTCGATTTGAGTCATAATTTTTCCGCACTGCCCGCGACACAAAGGCCCGAGGTTGGCAAGCCTATCGCTGTTGCCCTACCAAAATGTTAACTATCAGGAAATCTCTTCACACGAGATATGTCGCAGTTAGGCAACTCGGCACGAGTTATTCGGAATTTCACTTATAACATGAATCGAACTTATGAGTTATGTGCATTGCTCAGAGCTCGGTCCATTGCTTAGAGTATCGTACCGGTGGTGCGCTCCCCCAGAGTTGTCCTAGCGCTCGGGATTTTGTCCGTGGTTTGATTTTCATTTTGCATAGGTTGTATTTTCTTTCCTCTCTGGTCGGAGCGAATTCCCCCTAACCATAACTCTGGTTAGTAGGTTATAAGTTTAAGGACACTACTCACATAAAATCTAACGGAATAAGTATATAGGTAAAGCTCATAACTCACTAATCAAAAGACAAATACCATCCAATCAGGACGGAGAAATGACTCTTTCTCGATACCCGCCGGCTAAGGAGAATGTTTCTTTTTGGGCGCAAGTGGTTTTCTTGTCATGAACGAACATGCGCGCGCATGTACAGTTTGAAAGATATCGCTTGCGGAAGTTTATATCTCGA